TGGGTATCAAGTTTGAAGATGAAATCCAAGGCTTATAGAACTTGGTACTCTACCTGATTCTTGAGAGATATTTAGATATCATTGTTCAACTCTGCACGCCAAGGTGTTATTTCCATGGAATTGGCTAAAGGCAATTTTCTAAATAATAATATGAGATGAAGTCAAAAGGGTTCTCTTCACAATTAGATGTCTTGGTCACAAAGAGGCAGAGGATAAGTTAGAGTAGAAGTTTGAGTGATAGAGGTAAGCATTAGGTAAATTCAAAAGGAAAGTCTGTTGATTTTCAGTGCTTCCACACACTATATGGTTCTATAGACAATTGAAAAAGGAGAAAAAAAGGTCATTCACAACAATCATATGAAAAATGATGGTGGTATTGAAAATGTTGAAGTTAATACCACCATCAAGGAGTTTGTTCTTTGTTGTGATGATGATATGGCCAACCTTGCACAAGATGATTCGAGTTGGGTTATTGACAGTGATGGTCCTTGTTCTGTTACATCACAAAGAGACTTTTATTCTTCTTATATTTTAGGTGATTATGGTACTGTTAAGATGGGTAATAATGATCTACGAAAGATTGTAGGAATTAGTGATGTCTTTTTTGAAATTTGATACTGGGATGGAATTGGTTTCGAAGATTGTAAAACATGTCCTAGATATGACACTTAATGTGAGAGGCTTACGACGATGATGATTATAAGAACCTTGGTAATGGTTCATGAAAACTCACTCGTGGTTCCTTGATCGTGTCAAAAGGTTAGAAATGCCGAAAGTTATATGTGACACATCTGAAGATCTCCAACAACATTGTAATGTTATGGAGAATCTTGACATGACTAATTTGTGGCATAACAGTCTTGGTTACATGAGTGAAAAAAGGATGTTTGTATTATCACAGAGAAATGTGTTATCTAGTATGCATGATGTTCATTTGAAGAAGTTTCTCATTATTTGGTAGGAAAGCAGACTCGAGTTACTTTCAAAAGTCAGTCTCCTTCTCGAAAGGATATATAATATACTTGATTTGGTGTCGTCCTATGAAGACTAAGACACTTGGTAGCTACTCATATTTTCTCACATTCATCGATGATCACTCGAGGAAGGTATGGATTTATACCTTGAAGTCTAAAGATCAAGTGTTAGATGTGTTTAAGCAATTTCATACTTCAGTAGAGAGACAAAATGGGAAGAAGCTCAAGTGTATTTAGACAGATAACAAAGATGAACGCATTGGTCCTTTTGATGCTTATTGGAGAGAACAAGGTATTCGACACCATAATACTCCTCTGAAGACACCACAGTTAAATGATTTGACATAGTGGATGAACATAATATTGGTTAAATAAGTTAGATGTTTGCTCTTACATACAAGATTACCGATATCTTTCTAGGGTGAAGTTCTAAATATAATTGTTCATATTATTGATCTATCCTCTTGAGTTCCCTTGCATTGTAATATTCCTGACAGGTTTTAGAGCGGCAAATATGTATTGTACCGTCACTTACAGGTCATTGGATGCAAGGATTTTGAAGACTAAGCCATATGTGTTCCTTGCTTATGACCAAGATGAGTTTAATTAAAGATTATATGATCCGATTAAGAAGAAACTTGTTTGAAGCCGAGATGTTGTTTTCATGGAAGATCAAACTTTGAAAGATGTTAGGAAGGAAGAGATATTTTCTCAACATAATGACAATCTTACTGATTTGGATATAGTTCCTCCTAAGCATGTTAAAACACATGATTGAGATGATGTTCATAATGATGAACAAGATGGCACTGAAGATGCTGATATTCCAAAGAAAATTGAGATGGATGCAGAAATTCATCTAGAGTTACTCGTTCCAGATGTGCCATCTTTTATCCCACTTAGACAATCTATGTGAGATCATCATCCTTTTACACAAAACTCTGCTGATAAGTTTGTCTTACTTGTTGATGAGGGAGAACCCGAGTGTTATGTAGATGACGTGGAAGATGAGCACAAGATTAAGTGGATTGAAAAGCCATTCAAAACAAGATGACTTATTTCATGAGAACAACTTTTTTTGAGTTGATAAAGTTTCCTAAAGGTAAAAGATCTTTAAAGAACAAGCAAATATACAGAGTGAAGATAGAAGAACATACTTCACGACCCAGGTACAAAGCTAGATTGGGGTTCAAAGCATTTGGTGAAAGAAAATTTATTGAATTTGATGAGAATTTCTCTCTGGTTGTGAAGATGGGATCTATCTGTGTGGTTCTTGACTTAGCAACTAGCCTTGATCTTGAGATTGAGCAAATGATTGTCAAGACAACTTTCCTTCACGTTGACTTGTACAAGGAAATCTATATGGAGCAACCTGAAGGCTTTCAGGTTCAGTTCAAAAAATATTATGTGTATGGACTTCAGAAAAGTACATATATGGTTTGAAGCAAACCCCAAATAGTGCTACAAGAAATTTGAGTCAGTTATGGGGAAGCACGGCTACTGAAACACGGATTTAGATCACTGTGTTTTCTCAAAAGTTTGGGGATGATGATTTCATCATTTTGTTGCTATATGTTGATCACATTTTGATTGTTGGTAGGAATAAAGAAAAATTGTCAAACTGAAATAACAGTTGAACCATTCTTTTGCAATGAAAGACTTGGGGTCAAGAACACAGATTCTTGGCATACGTATCACCCAAAATAGGGTTGCCAAGAAGCTTCACATGTCACAAGAGCAATACATTGAGAAGGTGCTTTGCAAATTCAACATGGATAAAGCTAAAGTGGTTAGTTCACACCTAACTACCAACTTTAATCTAACTAATAAACATTGCCTCTCTTCAAAGAGAGAGATTGAATAGATGGATAAAGTTTCATATACATCGGCCATTGGGAGTTTGATGTATGCGATGATATGTACAAGGCGTGATATAGCCCATTCAGTACGTGTTGTTAATCAGTTTATATCAAATTCTTGTAAGAATCATTAGAAAGCAGTTAAATGGATTCTCCGATATTTGTAAGATGCATCCATATTGGGTATAATATTTGGAAATGAAAAGCCAATGCTTGTTAGGTATATAGGTTCTGGTATGGAAAGAAATATGGACAGCATGAGATCCACTTCTGGATATTTGATGCCCTTTGAAGCCCTTTGAAGGGGGAGCAGTATCATGGCAATCAAGACTTCAAAAATGTGTTTTATTGTCTATAACCGAGGGTGAGTAAATAAAGCGTGCAAAGAATTATTGTGGTTAAAATATTTTTTTGAAGAAGTTTGGTTTCAAGCAACAATGCTACGTGATCCTTTGTGATAATCAAAGTACAATTTGTCTTGTGAAGCATTCAACCTTTCATGGAAGAACAAAACATATCAAGATGAAGTATCAAAAGATCCGAAAAGCTCTTGAAAATGAATTGCTTGATAATGGTTCTGATATGTTGACAAATGCCTTAGCAAGGGAAAACCTCAAGATATGTTGCTCATCCGCGGGGATGGCAAACTCTTCCTCATTGGCAGAAAATGGAAGATTTGTTGGGTTTTATTTAATTATTTCTAGCCCATGAGGAATAGTTAAAATCTCCCAACAATAGTGGTCTGATAAAAGTTATTGCCTTGTATGCTAGGGTTTTGCATGAAGAAAGTAAAAGTCCTCAACATACAAAATTGAGAACATTTGAGAAAAGCGCAGTCGGGCCGTTTTGCTTATTCTTGGAGTTTGAATTGTCTGATCGTCTTGATATTTTGACAATAGCATCACGACAACTTTATCTACATTCTCAAAGATGGAGATCGATTTTGGAGATTGGGAAGTCATCCTTTTGATGTTCGACATATTGCAGTTGTTTTGGGTGATATTTCTTCCTCTTTTCTTCATGGTTTGGTTTCATACTTGTTGATGATTTATTTGAAGAGTATAATGATGATTGTTGTGTTCCTCTAGTTTTACCTGTAGAGAAGACTATTGTATTGTTTACTGGTGATAGTAAACTTTGAGCGGCCTAAGGTCTCGTGGTTTTACTCTCGCCTTGAGAGGTTTCCATGCTAAAATCACTGTGTTACGTGTGTGCTACTGTTTGTTGCTTACTTCTAATGTGGAGATTGATTACGATTGCATCTAGTATACCTAATTTCTTTGCATCCTCATGGGTTCATACGAGCCAAGAAATTTTTGTCCAACACAAGTTATATACGCATTGTTGTTACCATTGTGACGCGTATTTTCCCATCATGTTTCTGTTTGAATGTTCTTATGTTTTAGGAGCTTAGAAGGTTTTTCATTCTTCCCGATTTTTTGCAAGTTCAATCTGTTGTATTTTTGTCTATTTAAGAGCCCTTTGTTCCTCAATAAAGATTATCGAATTTGGTCGTTGTGCTCTTGAGTCTGGTCCAATAATAATAGCAAAAGGCTGGTGAAAGGCGTTTAGGGAACAGGCCATTGGTGGTGGTTGACACACGATTTCAACGTCCATGCTTGATGGGCAGATGTAACCGTAAACGTTGTAGAGAAGGGGAGGAGGATTCAAGAGTGATTTAATACCGTGTTGAATTACCCCAAAATCCTTGAGCTCCCACTTTACATTCATTAGCATACAATCCTATCCACAAGGAAGCCAATTTCTAAATGAATACGTAAGGCTTATCTATAGAAATAATATGAAGTACATAGAGGGATTTTTTCTATCGGTTACTCTTCGAAAATGCTACTCAAGTTTGGCATAAAGAGACAGTAAAGGACCTAGACTCACTGAACAAATATCTTCTCAACTATTTTGCAATTTTAATAAGGCTTTGTATATAGAATGATCAAAATCCAATCTTGAATAGATGCCTTTTTCCTCCCTATTTCCTCTCCTAACAAGAATAAATAAACCAATTAAATCTTCTAGCAAAAACCAAAAAGAAAAGAAAAGAATAATGTCCGAAAATGATCTTAAAGAAAACTTGGAAAAGGAAGAGTAAAACATTAGCTCCCTGAAAAAAAAAAACCCAGGATGGAGCAAATATATACGAGACTTGACATTAAGAGACAAGTTCTATCGATTCTGTATCATCTTTATTCACAGCCAAAGTTAGCTCCTCTGCTCTCTTAGCTTGCTCCCTCCAATCTGTTTTTATCAATGTATACACCATCAACAATGCACAAGCAGCCTGTGATGCAACCAACCCTAGCCATAATCCCTGATAATCCATCTTCAACACGAAAGCCAACACAATTGACATAGGAAGCCCTATAAGGTAAAAGGCAGCAATGTTTATCCTGACCCCAACTTTGGGTCTGGCTGAACCTGTCAACACCCCACAAGCAGCCGTTTGCAGGGCGTTTCCCACTTCAGCGAGTCCCATGATTGGTAGGGTGCTAGAAAGCAAGATAAGGATTTGGGTTTCATTAGTGTATAATATTCCAAGAACATTTCTGAAAGCAATATATAGTACGAAGATTACAAGTCCATATGTAAAAGCAATGGATATCCCAATCGTTGCAGCCCACTGTGCACGAGATGGTTGCCCAGCTCCCAACTCATGCCCTACACGCTGCGATATGCTCAAACTCAAAGAAAATGGCAACACATAGATGATGCCTGTTAGTTGCATTATGATCCCCGTTGCTGCTACACAAGATTCAGGATTCTCTAGCAATCCACTAAGAAAAAGAATGATTTCATACCACCACCACTCTAAACACACTGAACAAACACTCGGGATTGCTAGGCTTAGCAATGGCCCCCAACCGTTTAAAATGGACACCATGTTGGTCATTGTGATCCAAGGCTTTATTGCAACTTTTGACCTGTAAAGATAGAGTACCAATCCAATATTCATGTTATATGTAAAGCATGTTGATGCCAACGCAATGCCCTTCATCCCTAGTTTTAAATAATTGATAAGAAAGTAGTTAATAGGGAGGTGTAGGATGGTTGCACAAGTGGCGACAATTGTCGCAGGTGAGTTCAAGCCTTGTGTCCTCAAAAAGGAACGCAAAGGTAAGAGGTGAGCCAGGGCTGGGAGTTCTGGGAGAGAGAACACTAAGTACGTGGCTGCGACCTTTGTGATAACACGGTCTTGACCAAGCCCATGTAACACAGGCTCGATGTTTAACCATAAGAATGTAATGGGAATGGAAATGAACAAAAGTAGGAAGAAGGTTTTGAGATAAATTTGGCTAAGGACTGGGAATCTCTTGGCTCCATAGGCTTGAAAACAAATCGGATCCATTCCCATGCATAGCCCTTTCATGATTGAGAAGCCGCTGACATTTGCAAAACCAATGGCTAGAGCTCCTCCTGCTAGTTCAGATTTTCCCATGTGGCTTAAGTAGAGCATTGAGATTATGGACCTTGAAAACACAAGGAAGGTGGTTGTTGCCACTGGACATGCTGATGTTCCTAGCAATATTAGCTCTTCCACCACCTACATTCAACACCAAAATGAAAATTACTATTTACTATCTCAATTACAAAATTAATTTTAACCAAATGCTTTAACAAAATATTAACTACTAACAAAATATATAGTAGAGATATATTGGTTTGCAACATATATGTTTAATATATTGAGTTGTCAAATTTAAACAAAAATAACAAGATATGAATTTTGTAGCATAGAAAGAAATATCTATCAATTATTATGCTTCTCCCCATCTCTCTTCTCTCTCCTTTTCATCTTGTACTTCTTCTCTATTCATATTGTTGCCTTTTATATGTATAGACAAAGGAGCCACATCATTTTCCCTTTGTTGACTTTGGTGTTATAGGGTAAATGCTTTTATTTATTTTATTGAATACCACGCTTGCTCGTTAAAATGGATTATCATTAAGCATTGATTGGATAAGTGTTTGTTTGTTATTAGCTTAATGAGATTCATAGCTTATTCGATTCAGTTGTATAAGATTGTTTGATAGTAGTGTAATAATATAAAAAGTGACTTATTTAGTAAACTATACAGAAAACCAAGTTTTTTTTTTCAAATATGTCCCTTCCACTTAATATAGATGTTCTTTTCATTTATGAAAAAAATAATCTTAAACAAAAAAAATTCGATCTACAGAGACATGTGATGAAAATGTGATTTCATAGAAGTTTTGATTATTTCATAATATAAAGTATTGATCATAATTAATGAACATTATTCATCTTCCATAAATATTTAAATCATAATAAATGAACTCTCAACAATATTATAAATATCTCAATTAATTGAGTTGCATTGGTTGTACAAATAAACATGGTTACATTTGAAATATACTCTATATATATATATATATATATATATATATGTAATGTTCTAAATTGTATAACATATATTTTTTGAGGTGTAAAAGTTATAAACAAAATGTAAAATGTACTATATATACTTTGGGCTATAAATGTGTCTAAATAGACTAGTATTTTTTTTATATGTGTGTATGTATATATAATCTTATAAAATTATATATTAGCAGCAGGTTCGCGGGTTGAGCTAGGCCTAGTCCAATCTTAACCCTCTTAATTAGCGGGTTGATGGATTGGCAGGTTGGATTTAATTGGGTTGTTAGCGGTTGGATTGAGCGGGTTTCATGGGTTGACAGTTTTCTGTACACCCTAACCACGAGGTTGGTTTATTAACAGAGAGCATGCTAGGTTAGACAGCCACTGTTAGTCGATTGACAAAAACTTCTTATTGCTAGGGGGAAAATTAGGTATGTCAAAACCGAACATATTTTTTGTTTTCCTTGCCAACTTGGAAAGTGACATGCTTTTATCATTTCAAGTGAATGAATTTCTTCTTGTTTCAGCTTTGATGTTATTCGCTCTAATGTTTGGGGCTCTTCACTACACCCTACCATAGGTGTACACAAATAACTTCTCATAATTTTTGATGATCACACTCATTTTACATGACTTAATGAAACACATTTATGAAGCTCCTTATATATACACTATATGATCACTACCTATACCCATCAAAGTACATCATGAAGGTTATGTCTATGAAATACATAATAATCATACGTCTCAATTTTCTTCGTCAACAAGGTATTGTATATCAATATTTTTGTCTAGAAACTTCCAACAAAATGGTCATATATAGACAGTTGTTTTGACAATATTTGTACTTTATTGATTTTTGCCTAATGTCTGTAATAATTTCTTGGTGAAGCGGCCTTACAACCATCTAGACTATTAATTGCCAACTTATTCAATGTATAGGCAATAGAAATGGCAAGAAGACTATAGGCTGAAGTAACATGAGCAACTATAGCAAAATTTCCTCAAAATCAGTATAATAGCCTGATTAAATTCCCTTGCCAAGTAAACAAGCTTTATATTTATCAATGGCACCAATTGGGTTTTCATTATTTGAACCCACTTTGAACCAACGGTCAACTTACCTTCCATAAATGAACAAACTCCCACTTCTAAGCTTCATCCAAAGCTTAAAGTTCCTCAAACATCAGTTTTCCAAATAGGATAAGAAGAGTTCTCTTAATCGAAAGATTGTCTGTAGAGTGATAGCAAAGTGGCATAGCAATGCTATTCTTGAAGATGCGAGAGTATTTAATTCCTTATCTAACTGCCATTGTTTCATCTAATCCTCAGCCCTATTAGATGCCCTATGAGTAAGAATTGGATAAATGACAAATGTCAATTCATGTGCAATTTTAGGATGACTTGACTCAGAATGCAACATTGATTCAATTGGTGAGATAGATTGTGATACAGGTTAAGAGCCGATGAGAGCATCATCAAGAGATATATGGATTTGATAGGAATTGAATGGAAGCATGAGATAGGCTAGAGTTTATGGTACTTGAAAGTTGGCAAGAGATGAAAATAATTTTATGTGCCTAGAAATCAACATGACGATAATTGTTAAGCTTTTTAGAGATTAGGTTCGAACATCTGTATCCCATAACAAAGATAGTGAGATTTAAGTTTTAAAAGTTTAGTTGATACTTGAATCATAGAAAAAACAAGCACACTCCCACATTTTACACATGTTATAAAGAGGAGGAATATTATACAAGAACTAGTAGGGAGAGAGATATGGAAAACAAGAATAATTGGCAATTAATCATATCAGATGGATGTTAAAAATGTCATTCTCAATTGTGACTTCCATGAGGAAGTCTATATGAAACCCCATCTCGGTGTATATCATTAGAACCGGTATTAGTAATAACAAGATAGCTTTTACACTAATGGTGTATAAAGTTCATCTTACTCCAGGTTCCAATGTACCTCTTTCAGATAGAACTTTATATCGTTAGCTTGTTGGATCTCTTGTCTATCTCACTATTAGTTATTGTGATTGTGCTTTATGTTGTTCATATTATCACTAAAAAGATGTCTATTTCATGTTCCGGTCGCTATGTATACGTAGCTTTTCTTTAATTTCTCAAATATCTTATGGGCACTCTTTTTCATGGGGTTTATTCATCCTCTACTTCCTCCTTGGAGCTTCCAGGTTATTCTTATTTCTGATTTTGATTGTCATTTTACTAATTATCACTCTACTACGTGGATAATATACGTTGTTTCTAACTTGGCAACTCTTATCTCCTTCAATAATACGAATAGTTAATATTGCTCGCTCAAGTACAGAAGTTGAGTATCGTATGCTTGTTGATACTACTTCAAAACTTATCTACCTCTGCTAGCACTTATATGATATATGTGTTCCACTGTATTCTCCATTAAAATTTCTCTATTATGATAAATAGAGTGATATTCATGATGCCTACAAAAACTTTTTTCATGAACATACTGTAAAACCTGTGATTTTAGGTCCTTGTTTGGAGTCTATTAGTACCCATTCGGAATTTTAGTTGGTTATTTCATAGAGGGTTGGTATATAAATCTAACAAGAATGGGTGGGGATCGAATCGGGCGTGAAAAAGGGGAGAAATCGTGCGCACAAAGATCAATACAACTTTCTATGCGACTTTATGTGTGGGTGATTATTTGTGCAACCTTTTAGGAATGCGGGTGACTTTCTACATGACTTTAGTTTCTACATGTGAAAAGTTGTGTTAAGTCCTATCAGCTCAAAAAAGGTTCGATTTTGGGGTCTTCTGCCTCATTTCTTCCCACTAAGCCATCTCCTCCACCATTCTCTCTCTAGTTGGGCAATTCTAAAGCTTGGGAGTCAATTTTTGGAGCTCTTCAAGTATGGTCATGAGGATTCGGAAGCTCCATATAAAGACTCAACTTGGATCCTTCAAGTTTGCATAGGTAAGGCCTTTTGAGCAATTTTTTGTGGATTTGAAGTTTGTGTTAATGCTTGGTAGCTTTTGTCTTCAATGGATTTGAGCCAAATTCTTGGAGTTGTTGTTTGTGTATCTCAAGTGTTAACTTTGCAAGCTAGATCTGGGTTTGGGATCTAGTTTTAACTTAACCTAGTAAGATGAGTTTTAAGTTATTCTGAGAAAACTATGTACATGTCAAAAAATGTCTATTGAGGTTTCAAATGTATTTTTTTGTGATTTATCAAATGTTGGTGATAGTTTGGTATTTATGCGTCCTTGGTGCATTTGATCTCATAAACCTTGAAAATCTATATATTTGGGGTTTTGACACATTTGGAGACAAATATCACTACAACGTTTTTGAAAGTTGATTCAAATAAATACGAGTTTTGGATAGATTCCAATTTTGATAAACAAAATCGCATAACTATGAAGTAAATATAATTCTATTGACTTATGTTGACTTTCATGGAGTAGTCAAGTAAGTTGGAGGTTTTTTTGGTTTGAAATTGATTCAAATGTGCTTTGGGACTTTGATCCACAAAAAAATTTCAATGATGATATTTGAACGGGTTTTGTGTACATTACATTTTAACTGAGATTACTTGTTCTGAGTATGTTGAACATTCAAATTTGAATCATATAATTTAGAGTTATAATGCAATAGACCCATAGGCATATGAGTCGGTAGTATTTGGCATGTGTGTAGTCTTGGCATTCTTTGATCTTATTGATACATGTTCTTATATGTACCCTAAATATTATGATATTTATGGTATATGACAGATGAATACCTATGGAGCTATTTAGATGTTCAAGTAGTACATTGTGAGTTTTGAATACTTGTTGATACTAACCAAATATGGAAGGGGTTGAGGTTAGTCGGAGGGCAAACAAAGTGAGATTCTGGTGATAAGAAACTTTATAGAGTAGGCACCAAGATACTATGAGTCTTGGGGTGCTATCTGGAGGGGTAGGCACATAGACCCATGAACCTTGAGGTTCTACCTAGAGGGGTAGGCACTAAGAACATGAGATTTGAGGTGAAGCTCGAATGAGTAGGCACTGAGGTCAATTGAATCTTCAGGTGCTACTTGATAGTGCTGATCTATGGCTTACTTTATGTTTCGCCATAGTCAATGAAAAAAGGTCTCGATCAGAATCACTAAAAAGTGTTGTTTTGGGTAT